TTTATAAACGCAGCAAAAAATAAAAAAATTCGCAACACTAAAAAAACGCTGCAAAAAGGCAACATTAGCAACATTCACTTATAAAATGATGCCAAAACTCAATTTTGTTAAGCAATGGCAACATTCACGTATTAGAATGTTGCAATAGACCATTTTAGCAACATTTAACTATCGAATGTTGCATTTTATGTGTTGCAAATTGTGTTTTTTGGTGTAGTGAAATTACGTGGCATACACATGACAAAGAGGGTTCTCTTGTACTCATTCTCTCTCATATGGCCATTGACTTGAACGTTGAAGTGCAAATGGTCGTCAAACATTTTTTTCGCTCGGTGACCTTTGCATCCTGACGAAGTGTTCCAATACACAGATGGTGTCTACGTGGAGGGAAGGAGGCCATGGTTCTATTGCCCACGTCATCTGTGCACGAATTGAGGTCAATAGCTAATATAAAAACAAATTCCACGTCGTATTAGGCATTGTGAAAAATGGGGAAAAAATAAATAAAAGAATTGACAAAAATAAAAACAAACAATTAAAAATATATTTATTTAAAAATACAACCATTTAAATGAATAATTTGAATCACTCTAAATGATCGTCAAGAGTTAAAATTTCGCAAAGGAATTTTTCGTTAGTTTTACTAACCAAAATATATAGTAAAAGTAACAAAATTATAAGTTCAATTTATTAATTAAATATCGTAAAAGTTACCACAAAAAGTTTAACGACCCACTTGAATTTTTGTGTCAATCAGGTAGTCATTAGGGAATTTTACACCTTTTTTAATTATTATTTTCTTATTTCTAAGGGTGGCAAAAGGGTCGAGTAGCTCGTCGGCTCGACTCGTCAAAACTCGGCCCATGGATGTTTCGGGACGAGCACGATCCCGAGCTGAGTCGAGGGTTCGTCCGACGAGCCTAAAGTTCACGAACCCACGAGCTCAGCTTGTTGGCTCATAAAAAATGTGAAGAAAAAAGTAAAAATAAAAAATAAAATTAATAACTAAAAAAAAAAAAAGACACGAGCTTGAGCTCGGCTCATCAAAGTGACGAGTTGAGCTCATGAGTAGATGGGCCGAGCCGAGTGACGAGCCCAACTCATGGGGCTCGGCCCATTACCACCACTAACTTTATTATGAATATGAAACCAAAGCAAAGTCAATACATGGTACAAAAATGAAATTCATAAACTCACAGCCACCTTTGTTTTTAAACTCATATTTTGTTTAAAAATATGAAAATTCAACATTTGATATGAATAGAATCAGGCATAGGACTTGTTACAGAAATATTCAAGAATTGATGAAATTGGGTAGTACTAATTAAGGATTATCTTTCAATGTCAAGGTGGGAGAACAATTGAAATTTCCGAACTAGTTGTGTAGAATATTCGTAGTATCAAAGTCATGAATTTTCCAATTTGTAAAATAATATATGAGTGATAAGTGTAATTTGTGCACTTATTTGGA